GTCTTATCAATATGCACTGATACCCATTTTTTGGCATTGAATGTTATCAATATTTTGATTCTTGCTTGAAAGTGACCTCACTTTCCCTTCAAAAGTTCTTCCCCTCCTCAAATGGGGTAACTCACTGCAATGTTTTTCCTATTTCCTGAAAGCAAATGTTCAGCCAAAGTTGCATATTATAAGTAGTGATTGAAACCAGCAACCGATTCTGAATTTTATAAATAGATATTTGCTCATGGGGACCATTTCCTGGTTTAATGGTAAAATCTCGGATGAAAAGTCTGACTTGCAGGTTCCTGTCTGAAAGCAGCCACAAAGGAATCCCCAAATCTGTCGTGCCCATGCATGAGTTTTGCTTATTTTTTAATCTAGCATATTAGCTTTCTAGGAGATATATTTTGGAAGAACTTCAATCTGTCTTTAATCAAGCATGTTAGCTTTGTATCTGACCTTAAATAACAGAGAAGTGGTTCTTTGGCCGTGAGTATATTTGTTTAGTTGAAGATACTTGAAGATGAATGCTGCTAAATTCTTTGTTTTTAGCACCAATGTTTATTGTGCCTCGTACGAGTTCAATGAAATAGTTGGACTACATGTTTTAACTAAGGGGAGTCTTTATCTTGCCTAAGGGCCATTAGCTCCAAGATTTATTTTTTGATGAACTGTGCGTGGAATTTTATTTTTCCCCCTTGCAAAGTCCCAGTGTTATATGTACGGATGACTGATCATTGATCATTTTTTATTCCCCTGTTTTTCAGCTTGGACCAGTTGTGGGGGCCATTTTTACTGACTATGGAAGCGATCTTGGATCTGGCCCTACTCTGCCTGTTATATTTTCTATAACTATATCTAGTTTCTGTTTTGTCAATCAGACTAGAAATGGATATGAGCGAAAGAATGCTTTAGCAGAATAGCAGTATAGCAGTCAAAAATCTAGGAACAGGAATACTAGTCGAATAAAATGCACTATGTATTTTCTGATGTTAAAAGGACTGGGTGGTTGTCTAGTACATCATTTCCTGCTTTTTCTTGGCCTTTCAAGTTCCATAATTCCTGGCCTATTCAACTGAAAACTGCAACCTATTGGCAGCATGGTGCAACATCCAGATGCCATACCTCTTCTTCCCCTTCTATTTAATTTTGTTGCTTCTTTACCTTTCCAGGTGATCCAGCTGGAGCAAGATCAAAAACCTGGAAGTGGTAACGGTTATGGGTTCGGGATCCGTGTAGACTCCCCCTTGGGGCCACTGCGGTTGGAATATGCATTCAACGACAGCCAGGAAAAGAGGTTTCATTTTGGAGTTGATCGCCGGAAATGATGGTTTCTTTGCTTCATTGGCATTGCTAATTCCGCGCTATTTGTTGTTCTTTTCTTTACATTATCACTGCTAATCTATTGGCTGCAGTTTTGATTCTCGCTATACACATAAAAAAGGGTGAGAACAAAGAAATAATTAAAGAAAATCTCTGAAAATATCTGTCATTATGGATCCTCTTCCCCCCATCATGTGGATAACTTCTCGTAGTCGTTGCAAATCTGGATGGTGAATGAAGTCAGGACTCAGGATGCTGTTGAGAAAGAGAGGAAATTTACCTCGGCATATTTTTGGTGGCTAAAACCCTAAATTCTCGAGGTGTAAGTTTTCTTGAAAATGGAACAAATTACGAATTATTCAGTCATAAGCCTCTTCACCTAAGAGAAGTAAACCTATTGTTGTGTTTGGGATAAAATCCGTTTAGGTTATTAAAATGCTGAAGCAGAGGGCTACAGTTTTGGCTGCATCAATTTCGGTCGAAATTCACTAGACTCGTCGTCTGTTGCTGGAAAACGGATGATATCTCAGACTCAATGCTGGCTTCAAACTCGTACTTCATATAAGCATATCGCTTTTATGATTGGTTGTACTGAAACTAAGGTTAACGCTTTCCATTTCTCTTGCAGTCTATTCATGTTTGATGTAGCTCTGTAGATCAGTCATGGAATGACCATGTAATTTTTTTTTTCACTGCATAGGCTTTTATGCTTGTCCAATTGAATTGAATGATCTGAATTTACATATTGGACTATTCAAATGCTGCCTATCTATTTTCTATATCTGAATGAATCTGATCAGACAGTAAATTCCTCTCGCCCAGATGGTCCTGATTCTCATCAAAAGATTTTTGTAGTCGATTTTGTTGATTTGAAACCCCCCCTTAAGAGAATTTCTTTAGTCTTGGGCACGACTGCGTGGAATCTCTGACAGGCCATATTGCATTTAAATCTAATGTTATTGCAGTAGCCGGTGGGTTGTCAAAGAGTTCCTGCTGCCTTTTCAGTGTCGCTATCTGTGTCATTCAAAATCAAGACACCTTTCCGTTTCTACAGGACCACTGTTTCATGAGGCCTTCTTTACTGGGTTCCAGAATGAATTTCTTTGTCTTCTCTGTCTTGTGGGCTGTTCACTTGAAACCAAAGTTGAGAGCAGTCTTGCACGTGGACGGTGGTCTCTGCACTCTATCACCATGGTTTTAGGATCATGATGTGATCACCATCCAATCTTGGCAAGTGGTAGTGCCTTTCATTCTCCTTTCCTCTTGGCTTTGTTCTACCTGGGTTGACTCAGTGCAATAGAGTGGTCGTGCCTTCATGATTGATGCATTTCATCAGTGCTCTAGCACTAATGTGCCACGACCATCCTGTCACTTGGGCTGTAAATGGATTACGAAGATCAGATACCGATTTAACTTTAATCTGATTATCTCACGTTTGGATATTAGAACTTGCATCCAATTAATAAACAGATAAGATGCGAATTTAACCCGTTGGTCCGATTAAAATCTAAAGTCTAATAAAAAGTTATTATTTTATGTATATATGGATATTATTTATAATTATATAAAATTTATATTTGATAAACTTTAAATATAATTAGTTTTTTAATTGTTTTAATCATTTTAAAATAGTTACGGATTAAATCTGAATTTGATCCAAAAGTTGACATAATAATGCAGATGAAGCTGAAACCGATCCGTTTATAGCCCTACTTGTCACCAACATGCATCTTGTCCTCACCCACATAGCATTTCTCCCTCTTACCATCCCTGAGGGGTAAGGGCTGAAATTGAACAGAACCAGCAAAGTCTGTTTGCTGATAACAATTGCTAGCTGCCTAGAAACAAAGGAATCAAACAAGATAGAAAGATAAACCATTGGTAGCAGGTGATCTACCGGGCAAAAGGTGCTAACTGCTAGCAGCCTAGCACATTCTCGTCTTTGCCAAGTGTGTCTCATTCTATCAATCCAAGCAGTCTTGCCTGATACTGAGATAATGCTTTAATGGTTATATTCCTCTCTTTATCTCAGGCATTTCTTACACATGGACTCTCCCATACATTGGTGAAATGATGCCCATGTTGCATGGATGATGGATCATTTGATGTGACTGGGTGTCCTGTAACTCGGCGGAGGAGACTTGACTCCACATTTAAGTTAATAGCTCAGCAGTCAGCAGCCCCATGCCATGTTCTTAACAAACTTTGACGGATTGGTATGATTGTTCATCCAACCCTGCATCCCCTCTTAAATGATAACAATAACAAGACCCACTGAAAAAGAGAACAAAACCACATCCACATCACATTGAAGTGGTGGCATCAGAGTTCAGGAAAAAAAAAAAAAAGAGGAGCTTCTCCTCTCATCTGTTGTTTTCTTGGATATTCTTTCCCCAAGTTAATCCCTTGTACTAAAAGGAATAAACAAATAAGAAAGGATCATGGTCAACAAACCAACAAGAAAAAGAAAATTGAATGTTCTTTGTAGTTTTTTTTTTTTTTTTAATTCCTCACTGTTTTTGTAAATGTGACAAAACATTTAGAAGTTTAATTACCTCGGTTGGTCCGCTTGTGTTCATCTTCTGAACCGAACCCACATGCCACATCTAATAGAAAATATATAAAACCTATCAGCTTGCTTAATCTCTTTATTCTTGTCAGTGGTTTTGTTCTACTTGTACCCTCTCCTTTACTTCTGAATTTTATTCATTTATTTTCCTTCACCTAGACTAAAACCTTCCAAGCCTCTCACTCTTCTCGCCAACCTTCAAACAAGCACTAATAAATATAGGGTGTCATCACTTAACCAAAACAGTTACTACTGCATGTCCGCACCTGACCTAACTGAGTCACAGAGAGAGAGAAAACGACAAGCAAAGATGAGGGGATGGAAGATTTTGGGTGATGTCATAGTTTTACGTGAACAGTGACTGCCAATCATTTCAAATTTCCCACAGTTTCAACCTTTCGCACGTGTCATCCATTTATACAACCGGTTTTTTTGAGCCTAGTGTTATTTTGATGTCCGAATTTTAAAATGTAACGATTTAGTATCAGAACTTTCAAAATGTGTCAATCCAATACTAAATACTTATTGYTAAGTAGTTATTAACCAGCTGTTAAGTAGCATTTTAGAAAGACATAAATGTCCTACGAGTATCATCTAATTTTCTTTATAAACCATTCAAACATTAACAAAAAATTGACAGTCCCAAATCCTTGCCTTTTTCATCTTGAAATTACTAATTTTTAGTCAACGTTTGAATGGTTTATAAAGAAAATTAAATAACATAGGAAGGACATTTATATTTTTTTTAAATACTACTTAACAGCTAGTTAACAGTACGTAATGAATTGACTTTTTAATGAGTTGTTACATTTTAATTTTCATTCAAAATTAATTGAGAATTAGAGTACTTAATTGAGAATTTTCCTTTTTTTTTTAAATTTTCTGCAAAATTCAACCATACAGCTGTGGTATGTGCAAGTACGCCCATGCATGGATTCATTGCATGGGCCTTGCTTATTAACTATCAACACGTTAACACCTTTGGGCTTTCCCTCCATTGAAAATGATGAAGTGGGCCCTTCAGCTTCATCACACTTTGAATATTACTTTTGGGAAACCAATCAAACATCCGATCGCAATGGAGACTACTGACTTGAGATAAAACGTTTCCACAGTGCCCATGTTGCTCAACCATGGTTAGAACTAAAAAACTACGCGCCGTTTGGTTTGCAGGAATCGGAATTAGATTGGATTATTCTGACTCCAACTGTTTGGTTGGGCGAAATCAAAATCCCATTTTTATTCTTGTTGAGGGAGTGGCTATTCCATGCTCCTTCCTTGATAATAAAATCCCATTCCTGCTTATTTCAATTCCCATTCTTATTCCTGTTTTAAACCACACAGATTACAGGAATAGACCATTCCAATTATGATTCAGAAGAATTTCGATTCTGATTCTCATTCCAAACCAAACAGACCCTTAAAAACCGATCAACTGGGTTCCTACATATCCTTGATCTACAGTTAACAGCCGTCAGATTGCATAATGCACAACCCTAGAACAATCAAATTTCAAGCCCACGTTGCATCACCACCGTGAACGAAGGAAAAGGAACGTGAACCCAACAGCATAGAATTGAATAAAACACAATTTGCTTGTCTTTGGGGTGTTAAAATAGTAATTGATAATATAATCCTTCTGGAATTTCGTGATCATGGAGGCAGAGATGTTTGGGAGTTTGAAAACAGAACATGGACAAGGAGACTCAAAAGTAATCCCACACACTCGTGCTATCTTGGGAACAGGAAGGGATAGAAGCACGGATGGAGACTAGTCAAGAACAGGAAGCTCGTCTGAATTGCTGGTCTGATTTTTTGTTTTGGTTACCGTTCATTTAAATCCATTTTACAGATCTCTAGTCTCTGGGGCTCTATACCCAGATGAGATTATTAATTAGTTAATTCATTGTTCAGATAATTAATTAATGTGCTTGGCTTTATGTGTTTCTTCTTTCTTGTTGGTAAGATAACCCTAAGCCCAGAAGCATTTTAATGTCTCCCACCCATGTTTCTCCCTGTATTGAAAGTGTGCATGAAATGGGAATTCCTAAATGAATTGCTGCTTGTCCAATCCCCAAGAATTTTGTTAATATTAACACAGAAGAGGCTTTGAGCTAAGTAAAGAATTCTTCCATATTGGCTTGAGGTGCTTGTCATATGTCAATCAATCCACTGGTCCTTCAGTAGGGGATCCATCCAAGAAAGGTTCTTGTGGGTTGAATATAAACAAAAGTTGGGTCTTCTGAAAAAACGAACAAAGTGTTATTGGATTTCTCCAAGTGTTGATACTGGGAGTACTATCCAGAGCATTAAGTACTTGAAACTAAAAATTGGTTTTCTAAAGAGAACTACTTCATGTATTGGTTTGGTCTATGGTTACAAATCGAGATGTAATTAAGTCTTAATCCTTTCAAATTGAACATGGTTTTGAATTTTCTCTCTTAGCTTGATATTTCCAATGCCTTCCTTGCAAGGATCAAATAGAAAAAAAAAAGACATGAACATGAAAAATGCAAGCTTCGGTTTCATAGAAGAAACATCAGCTTTGAAATGAAAATACACGTTTAATGATAAAAATAATTATCACATAAACTAATTTAATTAATTAGTGCTTTTGGGTTCACGTGATCCTCAAAACCCATTTACAGAAGCGAAAATTCATGCTCATACAAGGCTAAAAATGGATGGAAATGGGGCACACATCTGACTGTTTGAAATAGTAACTTATTACACAAGGGATATTGCTTCGAGTCTAGCACAAACTACTATTTGGTGGTCTAAGCAATCTTGTACAATGTGGCAACTATTATATTTTTTAATCCATGGCAGAGCCTATTAACATCCTTTAACACATTCTTAGCAAGAACTACTTAAAATTTATAAAATAATTCAATTGACCAGTTGTTTATACAACAATGTTGATCAGTTTAATACTGTAGCCATATTGCTTGCAATTATATATAATTGATTAAAATCAGCAAATGCATTAGAAAAAAAATGAGATTTTATGAATCTACTGGCTTGTGATTTTTAAGCCAATCATGAAATGGAGAAAGTATCAAATTTCTCATCTTCATGTAAACTTTGTCCTATATGGGGGAGCTACATGGTTCCTGTTCCACCACTTCCATCTTATTCAATACCATATCCATTGTCAAATTTTGGATCCTTAAACCATTTCTCACTATTTCAATCCATG